AAATCTTTGAGATTGTTTCTTTTGAAACAAAAATCTTTGAGTTTGTTTCTTTGGAAACAAAATTTTGTCTCTTGAAACATTTTCTCTTAAAACAAGATCATCTTTGAGTTTGTTTCTCTGGAAACAAGGTTTTATCCCTTAAAACAATTTCTTTTGAAGAAAAATCTGAGTCTGTTTCTTTGGAAACAAAATTTTGTCTCACTAAGATACAATTTTCTGAAAAACAAAGTTTTGTCTCTTATGACAATGTCTTTTCAAAAAAAAAAAAAAAAAATCATTGAATCTCTTTCTTTGGAAACAAAATTTTGTGTCTCTCGAGACAGTCTTTGAGAAAAATCTTTGAGTTTATTTCTTTGGAAACAAAATTTACCATCTTTGAATCTGTTTCCCTTGAAACAAAATAAACATCTTTGAGATCGTTTCTCTTGAAATGAATTTTGTCTCATTTGAGCCAATTTCTCATGAAACACCGATCTTTGAGAACGTTTCCCTTAAAAAACAAATTTTGTCTCGGTTGAGACAATTCCCTTTAAACGCCGTCTTTGGGTTGTTTCCTTTGAAACGAATTTTGTCTCTTTCGAGACAGTTGCTTTGGAAAAACTTATCTTTGAGTTTATTTCACTTGAAATAAAGCAAATATCTTTGAGATCGTTTCTCTTGAAACGAATTTCGTCTCCCTTAAGACAATTTTTATCAAAATCCAATCTTTGAGTTTGTTTCTATTGAAACACATCTTTGAGTTGGTCTCCTTTGAAACCATTATCCTAGAGATAACCAGCCGTCCTCGTCACGTAGGAACCGTGTTATCACCTTTAGATGGCCAGAACTCTTCATTGCGTATGAGTCGTGTCATTTCCCGACCAGATCTCTTCATCACGTAGGAGCCGTGTCAACCATAGATAACCAGCCGTCCTCATCACGTAGGAACCGTGTTATCACCTTTAGATGGCCAGCCGTCCTCATCATGTAGGAACCGTGTCATCCCCAGACCAGATCTCTTCATCACGTATGAGTCGTGTCACCCTAGATAACCAGCCGTCCTCATCACGTAGGAACCGTGTTATCACCTTTAGATAGCCAGAACTCTTCATCATGTATGAGTCGTGTCATTCCCCGACCAGATCTCTTCATCACGTATGAGCCGTGTCACCCTTAGATGACCAGACCTCTTCATTGCGTATGAGTCGTGTCATTTCCCGACCAGACCTCTTCATTGCGTATGAGCCGTGTCACCCTTAGATGACCAGACCTCTTCATTGCGTATGAGCAGTGTCGTCCCCACCAACAGAACTATCCATTTTTTTTCAAACCAAAAAGAGGAGAACCAGACAAAAACGTGTTTTCTTGTCGTCTTTGCCCTATTCTTGTTAACACAAGAATGTGCAAAGAGGGGCAGCTGTAGACACCCGTTTTTGTCCGGGTTTTTTTATCGTTATTTTATTATTATTATTATTATTATCGTCATCTTATTATTTTATTATTATTTATTATTACATATTTTTTTTTTGCAGGCCAAAGCCCAATACAACAAGGCCCAACCAAGGCCCAAACACGAGCCCAAGTAATTAGGGTTTTAAACCCTAAACCTATCATCATTCAGCCGCCGCCGCCGCTTCTGTTGGACTTCCAGCCGCGCCGCCGTCACTTTTCCGGCCCACTCCGATGGTCCAGCCGCCGTTCCCGCGCCACCATCGTCATCTACAGTGAAAAATCAATCAAACAGCAACCCCATCAGTGACTAAATCAACCAAAAACCAAACCCCAAATTAAAATACCAATAAATCCCTAAATATTCGGGATTTATATCTTACAAAATCAGAGAAGGACATGGGCTATTCTAGACATCATCATCTCACCAAACGAAGCAAAATCGACCATAAATCAAGCAGATATCAGAAAAAAGGGGGGGTCATTCGGTTGGTAAAAAAACAGAGAGAAGAACAAGAGAGGATTCGGGAGGCCAGAGAAAAAAAGAAGAAGAAAAAAACATATATTCGAGACAAAAAAAAATAGATGAAGGGAGGAGATTTTTACCTTTCTAGGGTCTTCATTGGAGTCCCTAACTGTTGAGTTTAGATTGAGAGGATGCTACGGTGTTCTTCGAGCCTTATGAGGCTCGGTTGAACCATGGGTAACAGAGGGTGAGGAACCGGAGGTCTTTGGGGGTTTATTTAGTCCCTGTGGCCACCGATCTACGGTGGCCAGGGAGCCCTTGGTGCTCTGTTCTCCTCGTGGTGAGGAAGCAAGAGGGAAAGGGGAGAGTATAAAGGGAGAGATGAGAGCGGCTGAGAGAGGAAAGTGAATGGGAAATAGGGTTTCAGAACCCTTATTGGGTCTTATAGCCTTCAAGCAGAACGGCGTCGTTTGACCAAGGGAGTCTGAGCGTCCGCAAAAGGGTATAACTACACTTTTAATCCCTGTGACTTTGTAAACTTACGCGTGTTTCTTCAAGGTTTGGGGGGGTAAATCTTAGTTTAGGTCCCTCCTGGTTTGTAACATCTCGTTGTAGCCATTAATGAAATCTCATAATATTTTATTTTGGGCATTTATATTTTCCTTTTTATATTTTAGTCCTATTTATATTAGTATTTTGTATGTTTAAATATTTAGATTTTAGCTGTTAATCTTGTGTATTATTCATTTTGGTCATCATATTATGTTTCTATTTGTTTCATTTTTGATATAATATTTGCTCACATTTCGTTTTAATCACTATTTGTTCACTAATGTGTGTAGGGTAAATAATTTGTTTTGAGCCCCGATTTGTGAATGAGCTCATCCTAGTCCCTATTTGGTTATTGATGTCTTTGATGATTTTTGATTTCGTAAGGAAGTTTTGTTAACTTTCTTTTTAGTCCCTAGTTGTTGGCATATTGATTTTATTTTTATTTTTATTCTAATTTGACCACTAATTTATGGTACTTTCATTTTGGTCACTAGATTTATGGTTAATCACGATTTAGATACCTATCTTTACCATGTTGTTCATTATAGTCACCAGGAGGTTCATGTTATTTGTTTATTCTGATATTGACATTCTGTTTTATTGTGTTTCAATTTGGTCACTATGTATACTATGTTGCTTATTATGAATTTAACTACTGATTTTATTCTTTTTCATTTTAGCCACTGATTGATCACGTTTTTTATTTTTTATTTTTTTTTAATTCTGCTTGTATATTTCGATTTATGCATTTTAGTTACTTGTCTATAAAGTTTATTTATTTTATGTTATTTGTATGTCATATTTTCATGTATATATTTTAACCTATGCTATAATATCTATGTACATATATCATGTTTCAAATATATTAATTTATTTTATTTTATTTCATACGCATGTTGCATCATATACATTTTTATACTTATTAATTTAATTTAATTTTTCCCTTTGTATATTCATGTATGAAAATATATTATTAATGTTTATTCCATTTTATTCAATGTGATTACATATGACTAATTTTTCAAGAACGCGAATTTGTAGAACGGGCGTGGAAAGTACTACTTGATCGAAGCGGTACAATCCAATACGACATTCGAACAAATACGAACTTAAAATAAATCCATTTTCTTTTACTAATTAATTTATTTTAATGATGCTATGTGTGTGTTTTTAATTTACTCTTTATTTCCTTTTATTCGAATGCAAATGTTAATTTTATTTATATTCGATTCGCATATTTATCAATAAGAGAATATTTTTTTTATTGACAAGAAATAGTCGAGTTAGTTTTTCCGATGGAGGATTACTAATTTTGATATTTCTTTTCGAGTTAAAGAATTTTCTGTAAATAATTTATTCGAAGTAAATTAATTAAATTTCAATAAATAGATCACATTTTAACTTTATATTCGAATCATAAATTCCACCATTTACAACGATGTGTAAGCGACACAGTACCAATTTTGGGCGATGTAGGGGTGTTTATCCTTCCCCACACGTAACCGACTCCCGAACCTGTTTTAAATGAATCTTTGGTAACGTAGTTCAAATTTTTGTCTTATAAAACTATTTTTCTTAAAATTGTTTTTAAAAGACGTTTTTAGGTATTCGACCTACCTAACCCAAAGGTCGATGGCGACTCATTTTCAATTTAATTTTAATTAATTCATAATCACCAATTTTCTAAATTAAAGTCGTAATCGTTTTAAAAATAATATTTAATTGTTTTACAAAAAAAATGGTTATGACACTTTTAATACGTAATTATTTGGTATAGAATGTATTTCAATTGAGAATTTGGAATGTTCATAGAAATGATATAGAATGTATTTGAATTAAAGGTCAAAAGCGTTGCTTGAGATGTTTTATTCTTCCATTTCGAATGTAAAAGGCAATGTCAAATCATAAATTTAATGGTAAACAATATATGTATACAAATATATATACACATTGAATGTATTTTTCTTGAAGTATCCATGTTAGGCATTTGTGTCAAAGACATTTGACCTCCAGGTAACCTTCACATACATGGAAAAACTTAGAAAATCTGACCATATTTGTCTCGAACACATACCTCTACTGAATAGACTAACACTCACACCTGATTCCAAGTAACATAGGTTAATTTTTGCACAAGAGAGACAATTTTAAGTATTCTATTGAAGAAGTGTATTTTGGTGTAGAATCCTGTAGTTATGGAGTGGTCTTTCCTGTTTCTAAGTGGTGGCTTAGTATTATCGATGTTGCAAGTAAATTTGCAACGAGCAGTTGTGTTCACAGGCCATTTTGCTTTAGCTCTTCTCTTGAAGCATTCATGTCTGATATATTTTTCCAACATTTTTATATATCATATGACCCTCCAAGCATTCTCCGAATACATGAAAAGGCTTTAAAAAATTGTACATTACCCTTATCTGACGCTTATACCCGAATCTGAGTAACCTAGCTCATAGGGACCATTAACTTTTGTCTTGGTATTTTAATTGTAATTCAATTGTTCTCTATCTTCATTCTATAATTTTGTCCGATGTATCTGATTCACTTCTTTGAACAGTCAAATCAAAATCTCATAGTAGCCCTGCCTCTGATCCTAAGAAGGAACCTGCACTACCTAATGATGGACCAACGGCAAAAATTGCAGCACAAACATTTACTTTCAGAGAGCTTACTGCTGCCACGAATAACTTTAGGCCAGAATGCTTGATAGGAGAAGGTGGTTTTGGACGTGTTTACAAGGGCTGCTTGGAGAGTATAGGGCAGGTTTGTAACGGATGCTTGAAATAGATGTCAAAGTCTGTTATAAACGTGATCTAATATGATTTTTTTCATATTATTTCAATTATGGATGTGAAGAACTGAATTATGTAGTTTAATCATTCTCTTGGGTAATATCTTTCTGTTTGCAGGTAGTTGCTATCAAACAGCTTGATCGAAGTGGTCTTCAGGGAAATCGAGAATTTCTTGTTGAAGTTCTCATGCTCAGCCTCTTACACCACCCCAACCTTGTCAACTTGATCGGTTATTGTGCTGATGGGGACCAACGCCTCCTTGTATATGAACTTATGCCTTTAGGGTCATTGGAGGATCATTTACATGGTAAGTTAGCCTGTCTTTGTGTTCATTGTACTTGCAATTTATGTTACTAAGACTTGATGTGAATATTTGACATGAGTACTTCAAGAAAAACGAAGGGTTGGTGTAACATGTCTTGCATCTATATTTCGGTTTGACTGCAACGTCAGCTTGAAAACTGAATCACATAGTTATGATTAACTTTAAAGTTTAATCCAAGGCTTGCTGACAGTATTGTACTTTTTCCTCCTAAGATGAAGAAGGATACGTGCTGGTATCCTCCTCCACCTGATTTTTTTAAGTTCAATGTGGATGGGGCGGTAAGGTCTGATGGTTTACATGGAGGAATAGGAGGAATTTTGTAAGACTCGAATGGCTCTAATCTTATCTCCTTTTCTACTGCTGTGGGACCAGGTCCTCCTATATTTGCTGAGTTGAAAGTAATTAAAGAGGGAATTGATTTATTTCTATCTTCTCAATGGGCGGCGAAAGGAAGACTAGTGTTAGAGAGTGATTGTTCAACGGCAGTGGAATGGATTTTGAGGCCTGTTTCTGCCCCTTCTTTTTTCAGGTCCCTGGTTGGGGACATTGGTGCCTTAGTTTCTGCTAAGGACATTATGGTTAGATGGATCCCTAGGAGCTGCAATTGGGAGGCGGACAAGTTAGCTAAGGAGGGGATAGGTTGAACGCTTATAGCTTTATTGATGTTATGTTCTGTTTTATTAGAAGGTTTACAGTGTAAAGTGTATCTTATGTATTTCTGGGTTATTAATAAATTGAGGTACTCTTTTCCTCCTTAAGCTAGTTGTCTCCTTTTAAGAGGCAACGCTGAGGGAGGTTTTTAACGAGACCTCCTATTCCTATCAAAAAAAAAGTTTATATGTGAATATGCATTGCAGTTTGCTTTTACCAGTTTTTAGGAACTACAATATTTTTGTTGAGCGAATTGTGATAGAAGGTTTTTAGCCTTAATTACCGAGTTGTTTATCGATGAAACAACATTGAGTTGACTGGGGTGTAACCGTACTTCCTTTTGGATAGGTGATTTAAACGTGTAATTAAGAGTTAAAGGTTTTCTGGACTCATGATATAGGGAGAACGATTTTTTGTTGAACAAATTTGACATATCCGTGGTATACCATACCCGTATCTGGTACTCTCAGCCAAGTTCAATTAACATAGGTGATTATTGTGAGAAAACTCATGAATAAAAATGTCTCTAAATAGCATGACATCAGAGTCCTTTCTCGTAATAGTTGTCAATCAATGGGGAATCATCTCGTGCTTGAAACTATTCTGTTGGCTTCAGTTTTCTACTTGACAGCTAATGACATGCATAACTTTTAAATTGCATTTCAATAATACTCTTGTTTTTAAGGTTTGTTCCTGACATTAGCTGTATTCACTTCGTTGGCTTATTCCGCCCTTGTTTCAGTATGCAGTTGCTGGTTATAGTAAGAGAATTGCACTCCAGATGATCACATTGATTACTGTGTTTTACATTTGTTTCTCAGATCTTCCACTGGACAAGGAACCTATGGATTGCAATACCAGAATGAAGATCGCTGCCGGTGTAGCCAAGGGATTGGAATACTTGCATGATAAAGCTAATCCTCCCGTTATTTACAGGGACTTAAAATCATCCAACATCCTTCTTGGTGAGGGCTATCACCCTAAATTATCTGATTTCGGCCTTGCAAAACTGGGTCCTGTCGGTGACAAAACTCATGTGTCCACATGCGTGATGGGCACTTATGGTTATTGTGCTCCCGAATATGCAATGACCGGCCAGCTCACTCTAAAATCTGATGTCTATAGTTTTGGAGTGGTATTGCTCGAGCTTATCACGGGGCGCAAGGCCATTGATGAAACACGTTCTCATGGAGAACATAATCTTGTTGCATGGGCGAGTATCTTTTTCCTTTTACCCAGCCATGATTCAAAAACGTATGCGATTTCTAAAAAAATTTATGCTTATGTGGAATGATTGTTACATTTTATTTATTAATACTCTGACTTAATCGAGTTTGGTGTATCTTTTTTTCAAACTTGCAAATATGGGTTTTGTAGGCACGGCCACTTTTCAAAGATCGTAGGAAGTTCCCGAAAATGGCTGATCCACTACTGCAAGGTCGTTATCCAATGCGAGGATTATACCAAGCTCTTGCTGTGGCGGCAATGTGTTTGCAAGAACAAGCTGCTACGATGCCTCTAATAGGTGATGTCGTTACAGCACTTACATATTTAGCCTCACAAACCTATGCTCCTAATGCGCCCGGAAATCAAAGCAATGGAGTTAGTCCATCAACTCCGAGGCTCAAGGATGACCGAAGAAGTATGACAGATGGATTGGACAGCCCGGATGGGCGCGGACATGGTTCCCCTTCCACCCATAGAAATTCACCCGATTACAGGACAAGGAACCATGCTAGGAAGTTGAGCACTGGGGCCGAGCTTTGTAGAAATGAAACTAGTGGTGGATCTGGGAGGAAGTGGGGGTTCGATGGTTCAGAACGAGATGAGTCTCATCGAGGCAGCCCTCTGAATAGTACAAGAACAGGAGAAACTCCACGTAATCGCGATCTTGATCGAGAACGTGCTGTTGCGGAGGCTAAAGTATGGGGTAAGAATTTGAGGGAGAAAAAACGAGGCAATGCCATAGGTAGCTTTGACGGTACGAACGAGTGATACTTGCATAGTATCATTTGTAAGAGAGGTTTGGCATATTTGTGGGGGCATTTTCATAGGTAAATGTTAAATAATCTTCACTTATATTATTTTTTCCCAGAGATTGATATTATTAGAGTAAATGGTGGGAAGAGGGTCACATTTTTTTTGCATCATAAATGCTGTCATTGTTGTTCAAGAATATTGTTTATGAAATTTCAGAGTTTTCCCCTTATATAAACCCTTATCTTTTATTATATATATATACATATACATATAACTTTGCTGGAAATGGATTGCTGACTGCAATAAGGTCATATTGTTGAAAAATTACCAAATTTGTGATATTCTCTGTTATTAGGCATTGAATCTAACACATTGACAACAACAAAGAAAGCATGAGTAGAATAGGGTTTCTGTTTGCATATTGTTGGAGAAAAAAACTATTACATAACCATGAAACAACTAATTACAAAACCCATCAGACCATCACTATTTTTAATGTCAGCAACAGCATAATCATAAGAAAATGAAAGGAAATGCCCAACTTCACTTGGAATATGGGTTGCTGCAATGGTGGAGTTGGGAAGGTGATTTGGTCTAGGGATAATGACCAGAGGTGGTTGGTTGGGGCAAATGAGGGTTCAAAGATGATGTCCTTGATATCCATTAATTGACCGAATGATTAAGAATATTTATGTTATTTTATCTTGTGTGGGTTCAAATCTCGATATTTATTTTAGGATTGTATCTATCCACTTAACAAAAAAAAAAAGATGATGTCCCTTAGTTGGCAAAGTAAACGAGAAATCAGGGGGAGAGTTTCTGAATTGAAGAGAACAGAGGGTTATTTTAGTGTTGGTTACAACACCGTTATTTATTTAAAGATAGAGTGACCAAAATATGAACAATTTAAAAATGAAGTGAGTAAATTGAAAAAATTTAAAAATCAATGATCAATATAAGAATGAAAAGATAGTTAAGTGACGCATTTAATAGGCCAATGGGTAACTGAAAAAACAGAAAATGGGAAAGAATGTATATTTGAACACTAATTCCCCCCTTGTCTTTTTGTTTCAAAGTAATTTCCGCTTTCATTTAGAAATTCACAAACTGTATACATATCCTTTGATCCCATCCAAACGCCATCGTTCTAGCTAACCGGAGCCATACGGTTCCTCGCCGGAGAACCCAGGCTTCTATCTTAATCGGAGCTCCACGACCCTCCTTCTTACCAGGTCCGCTTCTTTGATTTTCCATTTCCTTTTTGGTGAGCTATAATTCCTAACGATATCTCCTTGTTTACAGATCATGGCGCAAAAGACGTTGATTTTTTTTTTATGATTTTGACGTCTTTAATTGCATCTTCTTGTGGTAGAGGTGCTGATTAGATTCATTTCTTCTTATTTCTGAAATTTTATTTTAAATAGTAGCTCTTCCCATTGTAACAACAGTGAAGTATCCCAAATTTCTGCAATTAAATGTTAAAACCGGCTAGTAATTGTATTTTTTTATTCGTTTTTGTAGCTTATGAGAATTTGAAAAGAAAATTGTTCGATGAGGATTTGTTTTTGTTTTCTGTAGAATTGCAGGTGAAGCTCGATGATAAACTTGCCACTATTTTAGTAGAATATGCATCGGCGGTAAAGTTGTTATTGTTACCTTTTTACTTTTTGATGAACTTGAGCTTCAAATTGAAAGTAATTATCCGAGAAATTTTGGTTTCGTGCTCTGGTTGTTGCTGCCATTTGTTTATGTATTCTTCTGTGTGTACACGCGTGTGCCATATAGCCAACAAAATGAGATAGACGTCCATGATTGATGTAGATGACCTGTCTCATTTGTTCTAGAATTCCTTGATAGAAGTCATAAGGTCGATTTAAATAATCCCATTTTATTATGCTAGAGTTCCAATAAAATGAGATAGAAGTTCTAAGTTCGTTGTAAATGGTTCCATCTCGTTTTTTCTGGAATCTGATAAAATGAGATTGAAGTCCTGAAATTGGTGTGAATGATCCCATCTCATTTGTTCTGGAATTCTGATAAAATGAGATTGAAGTCCTAAGATCGATGTAAATGATTCCATCCCGTTTTTACGGATTCCAATAAAATGAGATAGAAGTCCTAAAATCAGTGTAAACGATCCTATCTCGTTTGTTCTAGAACTCAATAGAATGACATAGAAGTCCTAAACTCAGTGTAAATGCTCCCATCTTGTTTGTTCTATAATAGACAAATCAATCAGTTGAATGTTGTTGCTTAATATATTACATAGAGTTGCTGTGCGCTTCACTCATTTTCTTTTCTTATCTTTGACTTGGTTACTCAAGCAAATTTTCTCCCCATAGGTTTATGCGTCAGATTTAACAGAACTTTTTACCTGGACGTGTGAAAGATGTGATGGTTTGACTAAGGTGCTTGATTTTATATATTTTTATTTAATATTCATTATTTCAGTAAGTTTCCATTCGAATCAGTCACCCTAATGCTCCTTTTTATTGAAACAGGGATTTGAAGTTGTTGAGCTTGTCGTTGATGTTCAGAACTGTTTACAGGTGCATTTCTCATTGTTCATTATGTTGCTCTGACTCCGTTTTTCCTAAAGTTCCTGTGTCCGGACTGGAACATATATACTTGTATCCGACACCTTCTAGTAACATAGATTAGTATCTGGATGAAGTATGTGTTACACATAATACGTCTTTTGTAACTGACATGAAAATGACTATCAATTGATAGGGATTTGTTGGCAAAGGATATTAATGCCATTGATATTGCCTTTAGAGGAACACAGGATAACAGGTACTATTTTATTTGCCTCTATAATTTCAGTTCAGCATTGTTCTCAAAATGAGTTGTTCAGTGGCATCATAAAGAAGATTTGAAGTTTCTAAAAACTAAGATATTTTTTTTCTTACAAATTAATAAGGTCTTTTGTTCCTTCGGTTTTGATTGATTCATCTGTCTGTGTGCAGCATACAGAATTGGGCTAAAGACTTATTCTGGTAACAACTTGATTTGAATTACCCTGGTATGCCTAATGCTATGGTATGCATAACAAACTTATCCCAGTTTGTGAATATATGCTAGAGTGGTTATTGTTAATCTGCAGTCTTTTCTGGCTGTTTCAGGTGCACCACGGATTTTATACTGCTTATCACAATACAACCATACACTCTGGAATTCTATATGCTGTTAAAAAAAAAGAGTTTTACGGAGACCTCGACATCATGATCAGTGGCCATTCAATGGGAGGGGCTATAGCTTCCTTTTGTGCCCTCAACTTAACGGTAATCTTGACGGTTGAGCCTTTTCAATTCAGCTAGAAATATGTTATTTTGTCATACTTATCTTTTGAGTTAATTTTCCTTGGTTAAATTATGATCAACATGAATACTTCTTGATTGCTGCATGTTTGAATTATACAACATGGTTTCTCCAAATCTTTTGAATCAATTTTCCTTGGTTAAATTCTGGAAGCTTTTCCGGTTGCTCTGTCCGAGTCGAGAAAATAATCTTGCATTTCCAGGTTAATCATGAAGCCAAGAATGTTCAAGTTATAACATTTGGACAACCTCGGATTGGGAATGCTGCCTTTGCTTCTTATTATGGCAAACTTGTGCCGAACACAATCAGAGTCACGAATGAACATGACATTGTACCTCATCTGCCACCATACTGTTCTTATTTCCTTCAAAAGACGTACCATCACTTTCCTACAGAAGTGAGTTACACTGTTTGTTAAAACCAAAAACAAGTACTCTATGGTTTTTTGTATTGGCTTTGACCGAACAACTAAAATTGGAAATATTAGTGGAAAATTAGGGTCGGGATTCTGCTAATTCGGTTGTTATCAGTATTTGAATATTGAAAATTTTAATGTTATGTAATGCCGAATGAGAAAAAAAAAATCAAATGTTCAGGAAACTAGGAAGTTGCTAATTTACATCCTTCTGTTATCTGGAGTCCAACTAACACTAAAGGTGAATGCCAGGATTGCATGACTTAATCGTTCTTGGAAGAGATTCTTTATTTACTTGTTTGTTCACTATTTAAAATTTACATCAGATTAAGTTTTACCAGTTTCCTTCTTGTAGGTCATAGTGTACGTTAGGGTTTCATGGAACTTACGGTTTTGGAACTACATGAGTGTAAATATATTACAATTTACAAGGTCTGTTTTTTTTTTAATTCTAAACAGTTTAAGATGCGTAAAATAATCATATGATTATGCTCTTTTGTTTGAAATTAAATTCCTTAAGGGGTGATTGTTGGATTTGGATATGTGTCCGACACGGGTCTGCTCAATTTTTTCTAAGCTGTCCACCTTTTTAGAGGCTCATACCCTCATACCCGTATCCGAAATGTGTCGGACACAAGTGTGGTGAATAGAGGACTGATGCTTGATGCATGTAATACCGCCCGAGTACGCAAAGAACGGCATGGATAAATTTGTTGCTCTGCATCTCTTATTTGTAGGTTTGGCTGTATAATATTGGACTGGGAAGTGTGGTTTATCAATATGAGAAGGTCTGCAATGGTTCCGGCGAAGATCTACACTGCAGTAGGCAAGCCTCTTTTATGTATGTAGATTTAGACTTGTGAAGGAAATTTATCTGTAGTTTGTACTGAAGCACCTTTTTGCTCTCATATTTATTAATCGGGTAAAGTACAAATTTGATAACTAAATTTTATTCTATTTCCTATTTCACTTATTGTACTTTAAATTTTTCTCATTTTCCTCATTGAATTTAATACATTGAGTTTTTTTACCACTCAACTGTTTCCTCACTGATGGCGTTATGACATAGTCTTTTTTATTCTACTTTTTAATGGGTAAATTACAATTTTAATCACTAAACTTTACACTCTCTCCTATTTCAATTACTATACTTTTAATTATTTTTAATCTAATCACTAAACTTTATGCATTGATTTTTTTTGTCACTCCTCTGTTAACAAAAAAACCATGTCATAACGCCATTGGTGAGGAAACAACCTAGTGGCCAAAAAAAACCCAATGTATTAAGTTCAGTGAGGAAATTAAAAAGATTTAAAATACAGTGAGTGGAAAAGGAGAGAGTAAAGTTTAGTTACCAAATTTGTAATTTACCCTTTGGTTCCATTTTATTCACCAGTAATTTTATTTTCAAAATCATACATAAAGTTATGTAAGTTTTGTTTGCTCACTCACCTTTAAGCAATTAACAGTGATGCTATCGTGTTACCATATAATATTTTTTAACAGTAGGTGACCAAAACAGAATCAAAACGTAATGTTAGGTATGATTCAAGAAAATAGTTGGGTGACCAAAACGGAACCAAAGTGATAATTGGGTGATTAAATGCATAGTATACTTCCAGTTTTATGAATATGTAAGATGAAGGCATGTTTTATGCACGTGTTCCTTTCCTACATCTTGGCAAAAAAAAAAAAAAAGAGAAATAATGGCAAGGATAGATTATGGTTTCCAAATGAGAATCGAGATTGAGTCATGATTAACATAGAATTATTACTTTAGAAATCTGTCATGAACTCCTCCTTTCACATTGTATTGCAGGTCAGTGTCCGGGAGCAGCATCACGGACCATTTGAACTATTATGGTGTTGACTTAACGTTCATACAATGGAGATCCTGCACAATCGTGATGGATCATCATGTTTCGGAGTATGCAAAAACGGATCACAAAGGAAATATCGTTTTGTCGAGAGATCCGGCTACACTTGTTCCGAAAATGAATAGTCAGTCAAGTGAAAGGGAGGTTACATATAGTGCATTAATGTAACAGTTTGTGCTTTCTTCCTCGTAGGTTTCCTCCCCCATATAACCATTTCTTTCATTATTCTGTTGTAGCCATGTGATGATTGTGTGAGTTTGGCCATCGTTATCCGAAGGAGGGCATGGGTATTGATGGAGTTGGTGGTGTAAATAACAAAGTGTACATGAAGATTCATCATACATACATGAATAGCAATGCCAGCTATAATTTGTTTACTCAGCCTTTAAGAAGGCGCATTGTAGAAATATATGATGAATGGTTTCATCATTCTGCTTACAAAACCAACATTTCCAATCCCAAATATGTCGAGAGGCAAGTTTAGTGTCCAACAAGAACGTTAATCCCGGTTGCTGTTGATCATACACAAGGCCATAGGGCTGACATCTTCAAGCCTTTGTACACCCCATGCAAGTAGAGGATTGCATAATATAATTTGGTCTTCACCTGCTTGTCTGTTTGTTGGGCACTCCATTGCGCGTGTTAATTCGCGCAATTATATATTATCTCTAAACTAACACGAGTAATGTGGCTTATCATTTATTTTTTCTTGAAAGAAAAATAATTATATTAATATATTTTCCCTAAAGCTTAGGGACCTTTCACGTCATTAGCCAATAAATATTAATATATTTGTGTATATTATGGACACATTTGAAAACTGATTCCTGTGAGACCCACCTCTCAATTGTCGCTGTAATTGAAAAACAATGGCATGATCCTAGAGAAACCAAACGTCTTTATCCCGTGGCATTTCACGACTAGAAAATCATATCCCCATGCCTATATCCAAGTATGTGTTGGATGCTGATATTGATCACAACCAATTGCATCCAGCCACATGATCAACAAACCATGAACTTTCTTCTTCTTCTTTTTATTTAAAAAATCTTGTTAGTGAAGTGGAAATTTCCACTAAACAAGTACATGTGAGGGGGACACTAACCAAACCTTTGGGCCAAAGACAAGAGGCTGTCCAAGTCTGTTGTTGTCAAACAACACCATTGTCAATGGCATCTGCTGGTAGCAACTTTCCAGGTTCTACCTTGGTGCATCATTTTCTCATTGAACCAGAGCATGGATCACCTTGTCACGGTCCTACTGTTCTTCATTATCTGCAATACGAGTCAACAACTTATCTTGAAAGCTAATAGCCAAATCTTATATTCCTTACCTAAACCACTTCTGAGCTCAAGCGGATGGCAAGCAATGGTAATTGCAAGGTATTTACTTTATTTCTAAGCAAATATAAACAGAGGCCAGTTTCAAAAGTTTAATTCACAAGACTATAATGAACAACTGAAGAGATGCTTTTCTAGGCTTTCAAAAATGGATCCTAAATCTCATGTACGGTTAAAATACACCTTCGCCAAGCAAAAATCGAACCCTGAACTGTCTATACAACATGAACACTTCCATTTGGAGGCTGCAAATAATCAACCTAATAGAAGATTTGTAAATAAAGAAAAAAATATAAGGAAAAACATCACAACTTTGTTATAGACTACCTGAGTTGCCTGAAAAAGCACCATGCTCAGGAACATATTTCCTTCGGGTCAATCCAACAGAATCAGCCTGAGGCCTTGGAATATTATCAAGGGGCTGTGGATTTAAGAAGTCATTGGACAGCAAGTACCTCTTGGATTTACTTGAGCATAATTCTGAAATTTGAGCAAGATTTTGATTGGATATCTGCTGAGAACACTCTTGCTTCTCAGTAAGCAGATTATCCAACTGTTCAAGAGGACTGACCCCCTGAGATGAATCCCGTAACGTCATCGTGCTTTGCTGTGACACTTGTCAATTGGCCTTGTCACTGCAAAGTTCTTTGGTTGGAGTACTAAAGCACTGATGACTAAGCGATAACCGAAGGCGAATATTCCTTTGAGAATAATACATTTTGGTACTAAGAGGCCCGGGCAGATCTGATTTAGTGGCAGAAGGAAAATTCATTGTTAAGTACAAGATTCAGAAACTATTATGGACAAGTGAAAGCAGAAAGACTTACTTTTTGTCAGTTGACAGTTTTCAAGGGCTTCCGTAGGGATTTCGCTTTCTGAAACCGTTCCTATTGGAAAGTCCTTAGCTGCAAATGTGCATGTTAAATATTAATGCATGAGAAGCAAAAAGCAATAATTTGGTAACCAGATAGCCTTTTTATGAGGTATATATCTGTGCTCCGGAATTTTGATTGAGAGCTGTCCCGAAACTCTCATACACAAAATTGTAAACTCTTATTGTGAACCAGAGCCTTTCTGCATTAGATGGCTCGGAAAAGTCAGGAGATAGAATGACAACTAATTCAACGTGGCCTTACATGTATATACGTCATGAGAATTTAGAATCTTTTTCATGCCAGAAGCCGTTTTTGGATCATCCAGAATGGGAAGGCAGTCACCAGCTATCCTACAGAAATTGCAAAAAAGCAATTTAAAAAAGAATGGCACCATCCACTAGAAAACAAAGACATTCGGATAGAATAGCAAAAGCTAGAATAAGAATAGCTACCCTACTTTATAAGAAGCCCGGCAAAAAGCCTAACAAAATACCATAAATACAACATATATCTAGATCTATCATCCCCAGGCTTGGAGACTGTAGAGCAAAAGAAATGTATCTGTACAAGTGGAATTCCCTACAAGAAAAGGAAAAGATGCACCAAGCTGAAATAATGAGGCACTTGCTGCGATTATAGAACTGATATGTAATAAGTAAATAAAGACACATTTCAAATTAGACATATTCATCATAAAATCATACCGTTAAAATGGTGGGAAAAGCAAGAGAAATCAACAATATCCACTTACGCTTTGCACGCATGGTTAAAGTTGAAGACATCCCAATTTGCTCATCCATGAGGGATTCAGATGCTGTAGTCTCATCATCATCATCAATAATTTCGGATCGCTCCTGGTCCCTGACTAGTGTAGGTTGGTCTAAGAGAGGTTAAGAACTATGAAATATGAATCAACAAGGAAATATAAGTTTCCTGTAATGAAGCCGAAAAGGCAAGACACATCATTAACATAAAACACAAGATAAACAAAAATTGAATTTTCATTAAAGAAAAAAAATCTAAAACTCTTTTATGTACTTCTGATATTCCTTTTTTTCAAGTACTAAGTACTAACATCAATACTGTAACAATATGAACATAAGAAGATTGAAACTTAAAAGTGAAGCCAGCAAAATAATGAAACGCATTGAAGAATAAAGTAAAAAATTGGATACTAGCATAAGCAGCTAGTGACTTCTTCCTTTCCTTCCTTGGAGGTTTCCTATGGCCTGTACTACCATCAAGCTCCAAAATAATTTCTTCTGTGATTTTTAGTGACCTACAGAGTTCTGGAAAAATCATAACAGAGAAAAAAAAGAAGCAATTCAGTGAAGCATCACAGACACAACGCTTAACAATTCATAGTTACCTCAACTAGAGAAACAATGCCAAAGGTAGACAACAAGATTATGAATCGCTTAATCCTACTGCTTATCGAAAGATCATTGAGAACAGTAATGCTTGATTGACAACAGAAATTACATTAAACATGGATAAATGCCTATCAAAATAATAGACACTAAAAAGATTCAGATATGTGCAAAAGTCTTTTTAAGTGCCCAACTGTTTTTAAGTTAATCATAACGATAAAAATTGGGAAAGATCGATTACAAAAGTAAAATGCCTCCAAACCTGCATGAGCAACATATTGACTGGCCTTGACCGGCTTCTTACATGCAATACAACATACCTTCACAAGTATATTAAACAATTAGGCAACAAAACAAAAAACTGGTGTACACATCAACAACTTACGTAAAAAACAACAATCTGACTGTATAAAGTGTAGATTTCTACCTCGGTGAAGACACAATCTTAAAAACAAGTTAGACACACTTTGGAGGCTAAAAGAAAATTTGGTAAATAAGAATGTAAAAGGCAAGCTACTGGGTGAGTATCTCATGTGAAAAGTTAAAGTTTTGGTGGCATTTAATTAATCAGACATTTATAAAACCCTGTGCAGAACTCAAATGTTGAATTTCTTTCTTATTTAAGATTAGACATCAGCATTCCAAAACCAAATATTGTGGGCCATTAATAGGCAAAGATAACATAGCTATGGATCAAAGAGAGCATAAACAGAAACAACTATTTTCATGAAAGAGAATAACAACATGATATCAAAGAGAACTGAAATGTAACTCAGATAAACTCACCAAATGTAAAGGATCAGTCGTAGGCTTCAAACCAAAGACATGAATATCTGTGAGAGAAAACAAACATGCCATCATAAACAATGAACACACATTATAACCCCTTATAATTTGGTGTAAGAGAAACATTATTAAACTGAAAGACCAATAAAATGAACATTTTTTTGAACATAAGCATCACCTTCTTCATCAAGTAAATTTGCCTCATCTGCCCCACGTAATTCTCTGTAAATGTATTGAGCAGCTAATTTTTGATTAACAACATCCTCTGCCAACAGTCAAGGACAATGTCATGCCATGATGTTTGACAAATTGGGCCACATCATCTAAATTGTTTGAAACAATAGGACCTAAATTAGTTTACACATCCTCCGAGTGTAGGCAGTAATGGTCAAGTTTAACAAAAGTGGCATAAATTTGATAGCGTGCTTATGTCCTTTTAACTCTGTTAAAAGTGAATCAAGAGTTTCACATGCATAATCACAAGCTCGAAAGAGGGAGAAAGAACAAAAATAATCATGTACATGAATCAAAAGTGGGATATATTCATGGAAAAACAAAGTAGCGGCTTCTCTTTTCATGGTGGAGAAGGGCTAACACCAACTTTGGTGCAATAATTACAGAGTTTCTCAAAATGAAAGGAAAGACCAGTTGTATGAAACATTTATTTATCTACCTTAGAGCATTCAGAAGATGACAATCACGAAAAAATTGATACCAATAGGTGTTGCAAAATTGAAACATTTCTTTCATCACTACTCTTGTATGATGTATCACTTCGTTCTACAACACTATTTGACTAGTAACCAGGAACGGAGCTAGGGTCAAAAAAAATAGAGATCTATTTAGTATTTTTAAACTTAAGAATTGTGTGGAGCAATGCTTAATTCGAATGATACTTAAACTTAGAGGTACTTAAATTGCCATTGGACAAAACTTTGGGGAGCCAGGACCCCTCCCAGCTACAGTGTAGTTCCGTCCTGCTAGGAACCAATACCGAGTTACCAATTGCTCACAAACTTAGACCACATCATTTCAAGTTTTGACCATGCAACCAAGGGGTGCAAATTAATAAAATTTGTATCATACATTGGATATCAAAAAACAAGTTAATCTAACTCTTCATTTTTCTCAAACCCATGTCTGACACCTACTCATACCTGGATATCCTCACTCCAAGAAATCTCCAAGTACAGGGGAAAATGTAGAAAAGATAAACCAAACCCTATCTTTCACAATTGAATCCCAGTAACATGGTGTAAGTATACACATTCCATTATTTCATACCACGTAGTCATGGTGTACCTGCTATAGAGGGCGAGATGCTTCCTGCTTCAAGAAGCCTAGCCATAACAGCCATTCTACTACTTCCCAGTGAGCATACCATTGAGAGACAAAGCTAGCACCTTCTGCTTTTATATTTCAATAAAATTTCAGGCCCTTATGCTTTTTACTGGAATACCTCTAGTGTCCTAGTAAATATGATAGGTTTTTTAATGAGACATCTAATTCTTATAAAAAAAGAATATATATATATATAATATGAACCAAGGATTGGTCCTAGTGGTAATGGGTGGTTTGTTGTTTACGTGATTCAAGTTAAAATAGTATTATTTGTAGTGTGTGTGAGAGTTTTATTAATGTTAAAAATGGAATTGATAACATTGTTGAATCCATTGCTGAATAAGAAAAGGTAAACTACTTGTTTGGTACCCATTTATTCCGATGTTTCTATTTTAGTCTCTGGTACTTAGGTTTAATAGTTGTTTTTTTTTGAAAGAGTAGGTTTAATAGTTGATTTAACTAAAATGGTGACATGATGTGATATAATAATAGTTTTATTCGGAAAACTTATATATTCTATTAATTTAGTTTTAATTTAAAATGATCTAGTAAATTGAGCCATCAAGCTAATTCAATGATTAAGAGGAGTGTTGCTCTCCCTAGAGATATTGGGCACGAATAGTTGGGTCTATAGTGTGTGTGCGCGTTGTTAATGACTAAGAAAAATTTTAAATAAATACTATATTGTAATCACTCTAGATTATTAAAAAATAATTTAATAAATTTTATCATCTAATATTAAAAAAAGTCAAACTTAAGACCTTAGATTCTAGTTACCCCCAACCATAGAGCTAATCTCAATTTGTGTTAATTTTTGACAAAACATGTTATTTGTGTTCCTCCATGAAAGCACTTCCAAAAAGTGATTCAAGAGTTAGACGCTTCCCTAAACTTGTTTTAGACGCTTAATTCTCTTATATTTTAATTTTATATTTTTATCGATGATATGTTTTTATCTTCTAAAATTTTATAAATTCACCCTTAACATAAAATACGAAGTGTAGTCTTATACATCGGTTAAATTATGTTAAGAGCACTGCAAAAAGGTTCATCCATGTAACTTTGAAGACTTACGAAATACTACAACTCATGCACAATTTGTTTCTCAAAAAGATAGTTTTAGATATCAAAATCATGAGTATTTTACGTGACAATAATTACTTTTGATAAGTCTAATAAAATTTAAACCGATCAAATTCAAAATTAGTAGACTTTTATTATAAGATTCTCAAATCTCACGTTATTTATATACGAGTATTATTAATTGTTTAGATATAACCTTCTAACTATATATTTATTTAGTGATTGAAGATAAAATTTATATACGTGCATCGTTATTATTTGACAAGCTCGTACTTGTGCTGATGTTTGGAGTGAATACGAGGGGTAATATATGTTCGAAAGAGACTCAATTATTTGACAATGAACATTCATATATCCTTACAGACATTGTGCTCGAACCTAACACTTCAAAAGATAAAACAATCCTTTAACGGTAGCTTGGTTTATGCAATATATACCTTACTTTTTAATAAAATTTATATATTTTTTTGTAGCTTTTAGTCAAAATGATGCCATTTGAATGAATAAATACAAAATAGATATTTTTTTATTTATAAATTATCCCATTTATAGACTAATGCATCAGGTAATGTAAAGGAATATTTATAAACCAAAGGTACCATATTAAACATTCCATAAATACAACTACCATTTATGACATTAATCCCTTATAAAATGATAAAATAATGGTTTTTTTGTTGTCCTAATAATTCGATAATCCAAATAAAAAACTGAAATAAAGTGCATTTACAATTTAAAAGTTTCAGAAAAAAAACAGTAATACGTGTATATAAAGTATATATAAAAAATAATTTTATTAATTAAATAATTTATCGAGCCAAATTAAATTGACCCGAAATAAATAAAAGATATTTCAAACTTTGATATAAATTTAAATTTTATATATTTAATTTTATTGATTAAATAATTTTAATTATGATAGACAACATACACTGCATACACAATTATTTAAATTCAATACTTTTTAAAAAATATTTATTTTTATCACTAAAAACTAGATTTAGTATAAAAAGTGCTAAACTAAATTGGTTTTTTCAAAGTGAGGCTTAAACGTTTTTCAGTCAATCCATGTGTCTAACGTTACAAACATTACAAATGTTATCACTTGAGGTGCCTCGGCCGTAAATACAGTTAAAAAGCCCGTTAAGTGACACAAGTCATATTTTGGTAAATTTCGATTTTTTAATTTAAAAATAAACTTTTCTATTTTGCACAAAATAACACACAATTCACAAAAATCATTGTTTCTAAATCCCAAAACCCTAAATTCCTATTTAACTGTCTACAAGTCGAAAGTAAAATCTGACAAATGATGGGTGGGCTTCAACAATGAGACAATGACAGATGATATATGATGCCGTGACGGTACAATTTGAAGAAAGAAATATAGAAAAATACAAAGGTTTTTTTATATTAAACCGTAAAACTAATTAATAAATTCAACTATAACACTCCTTTTAATCAGTAATGATGTTGTACACTAAAATTGTAGCACAACACAAAAAATTAAAATAAGAAAAAAATACAAATTTAAGGACCAATTTTAAAAGATTACAAAGTTTAAGGTATTAAAAGTTACTTTATATGAAAAACCAATTATGGATCCCAGGTGTAAAGTTCATCCAACAATATCCCCTACACCTCACCAAACTGCCTAACTTTTTCTTCGACTTTTCATGCTCACGGCTCCACCAAAAATGGATACTGTCAACCCTTTGGTAAATCTTCTCTACTTTTTGATTTTATATTTTTCAGATTCTTTGCTAAATTTATCAGCTGCTGAAAATTTGTTTAATTGTTTGTTTGTTTGTGTGTTTTTTTTTTTTTGGTTTCAATTCGATAGGTTGTTTCTGGTTTGAAAATGGAGGGGATTGGAAGTGATACGAGGAAGAATCCCTCGCTGATTTGTGTTCCAATAATGGCGGATGACATTGATAAGATGGTGGCTGACATGGTTAAAGCTGAAGCTTCCACTGCCGATCTTGTGGAAATTAGGTTGGACAGTCTCAAGAATTTCAACCCTTTTGAAGACCTCAAAGTTTTAATCAAACAATCTCCTTTACCAACCCTCTTCACCTACAGGTTTCAATATTTTGATTCAAGTTTAAATGTGTATTTATTTTATTTTATTTTATGGGGATTCATAAATTCTGCCATTGATGGACCTTGCAAGCTCCTTCACAAACATATTTCAAGTTTTGTTTTTTTTCTTTTGTTTGATGCAAGTTTTAATGGGTGCTATTCTAATTCTCTTATTTTCTTGGATTTCCCTGATCGCTCATGTTTGAGTCTTTTTTATAAATTTTTCCATTGATGGATCTTTCAAGCTTGTTCTAAGTTGTTTAACTTGTAAACTTGTGCTGCAGACCAGTATGGGAAGGTGGCATGTATGATGGTGATGAGAAAGAGAGATTAGATGTTCTTCAATTAGCCATGGAGTTAGGAGCTGATTACATTGATGTTGAGCTTAAGGTTTGCTTCAGAGAACTTGATTTGCATTGTGTTTGTTTTGTGCACTTTCATCAATGTTACTCGGACTCGAGTGTGCATACGGTGTAGGTGTCCGACATGGATGTGTTAAGATTTTGTTCAAGTTTTTTCATATATTCCAGGGGTCATATCTCTAGTACCTGTGTCCAGATATGCATTGTACATGTATTCTTTAAGAGAAACACATACTGCTTGTTTCTTCATTTTGATTAATAATGCTCGTACTGCCGCTGTGAGTTTTGGATATGAGTGTATGCTCCACACATGTATGATTAGTTTTTTCAAGTTTTTAAAGGGTCATTTCTCCTTACACATATCCAGATATGAATTGAACATGGATAGTTCGAAAGAAAATGAAGAGTCAAAGTAATATATCTTTTGGTCGAAACATCCCATCTTCTGTATCTAATTTTTTTGTCTGTAAACAGTAAGCTTACTGAACTTAGTAGAGTGGATTCAAATTGTATGATGCTTGTTTCTTTCTGTTTTGATCAATGTTACATGGACTTGGTGTGAGTGTCGAATACAAGAATGTATGATCATGTTCAAAATTTTCAAGTATTTCTATTCATTTGGAGGTTCATATCCTTATACCTATGTCTGGACATACATCAGATACAAGCACTTTTAACTTTTAAGAAAAATGAAGAGTCGAAGTAACAAAGCTCTCGATTGAAACTTGACAACTTTTTATATCATTTTTTTGTGTGTAAACTGTACGCTTATAGTAATGCAAATTGCTGCTTTTTCAAGGTTGCTCATGAATTCATAAAATCCATCAATGGAAAGAAACCTGAAAAGTTCAAAATTATAGTTTCTTCTCACAATTATGAGAACACTCCATCTGTTGAGGAGCTTGGCAACCTTGTTGCGAAAATACAATCTACGGGAGCCGATATAGTGAAGATCGCGACAACAGCCGTTGATATCACTGATGTTGCACGGGTTTTTCAGATAACTGTGCATTCTCATGTAAGAATCATTGACTTGTTTAAAACATCTTGTTTGTTAAAATCGTTAAATTTTGCTGAATATGTCTTGGGTAAAGTTTAAGAGAGCTTTTAGATTTGCATTCTTCAGTAGATTATTATTTGGTTAATGCAGTGTTGGAATTAGAAAACCAAGTTGTGGCAGCAGCGGTAGTGTTTATGTAAAGTGTTTGATAATCTATGCTAAAACTTTTTGATACTGATGAGTGAGTGACTGAAAGTCTGAAAGGGTCATTTCCATTATCCGAACTAGACATCGGTGAAATTTACCAAAAGAAAAAGGAAACAAAATGCTTTATCAAATTTGTTTTACTGCATTGGAGTACCGAATTTGTTGTTTTCTTTAGTCTCGTTGGACCACTTATGCATCGAAGATTATTTGCATGGTTAAATTGATCAGTTTGATTTGTTCCTGAATATTTCAGGTTCCTATAATTGGACTTGTCATGGGTGAGAGAGGGTTGATTTCACGGATTCTCTGCGCAAAATTCGGTGGTTATCTTACTTTCGGAACTCTAGAGCCGGGAGTTATTTCAGCACCTGGTCAACCAACTATCAATGACCTGTTGAATCTATACAATTTCAGGCAGTTAGGTCCGGATACGAAAGTGTACGGAATTATTGGGAAGCCTGTTGGTCATAGCAAATCACCCATGCTCTTCAATGAAGCATTCAAAGCAGCTGGTGTCAATGGAGTCTATGTTCACTTACTAGTGGATGACTTAGCAAAGTATCTTGGAACATACTCATCCACTGATTTTGCCGGATTCAGGTTCATTCCTATGTCGGAAATTTTCATTTCTGATACATAAACTTCTTTATATTCACGTAATCACTATTGTGCCAGTTTTAACTAGCTTTAGTCTCTAGATTAGTTAAACATGTAGTGCAGGTTACTGGTTAGAGCTGCAAAAGGATTCATCTAGTATAATTTAGTATGTGGTTTACTTTGTAGCTCCAATTCTTCATTTTTCTTGAAGCGTTCACATTAGACGCATATGGGTATCCAATTTTCCAAGGGCTATCCAAGTACTTGGAAAAACTTGGAAAAATCTAACATATCCATTGTATTTGGCATTCTGAGTCCTAGTAACATAGTTTTTGGCTTTTAGCCTACTATTACGCTTCTTATATTGGTATCATATATCATTTTGTTGCAAGATGATTTATTTTTGTTGCTCACATGCAGCTGTACAATTCCTCACAAGGAGGCTGCGCTGAAGTGCTGTGACGAGGTAGATCCGATTGCTAAGGTATTTATGTTTTTTTATTTTATTTTATCTAGCAACAGTAATATCGCCATCCACAACTATGAACTTTGTGATTATTCAACTTCTTTGGTGATGAGCATTTTCTTTGAGTGAAAAGTGTGCATGATCAATCTGTCTTTGATTAAATATCGCAGTCCATAGGAGCTGTTAATTGCATTGTAAGGAGTCAAATAGATGGGAAGTTGTTCGGTTATAACACAGACTATATTGGTGCTATTTCTGCTATTGAGGATGGACTACGAGGTTTGTTGCTAGTTTGTAAGCAATGTATGTTTCAGTTGATTTGTTTGTCCAATGTTCTTAAAACCCCATTATTTCTTGACAGCTAGATATAACATAAGCAGTATCACCGGTTCGCCGTTAGCCGGTAAGCTGTTTGTAGTTATTGGTGCCGGTGGTGCTGGGAAGGCACTTGCTTATGGTGCAAAACAAAAAGGAGCGAGAGTTGTTATTGCCAATCGAACCTATGGTACAGTGTTCATTCTAACAAAAAGAGTTGACTTTTGTTTTATTTTTCCTCAATTTGCTTTATTTTTCCTCAATTTACTTTGGTGATAACTTGAGATTTATTGTTCATTTTAACTTTAAGAACGAGCTCGAGAGCTTGCCAATGTAGTCGGAGGAGATGCTTTGTCTCTTGATGATTTAGCTCACTTCCACCCACAGGACGACATGATTCTGGCCAACACAACATCCATTGGAATGCAACCTAAAATCGATGAAACACCAATACCCAAGGTTTGCCATTTTTTCATCTTGTGAATAGCACATCCTAATTCGAACATTTTCCAAGGCTGCTTTAACATGTTTTCTAACTCCTGCAACAGAGAAACAGGAGCCCATAGTGTTCATCCTCACATGGACACGCAACTATGAGAGAAATAACTTTTTTCTGTTATTGCAGGATGCTTTGAAATACTATTCACTGGTTTTTGACGCCGTTTACACCCCGAAAATAACCCGACTCTTGAGAGAAGCTGAGGAAACTGGAGCCACAATCGTTTCTGGATTGGAGATGTTCATCAGGCAAGCCTACGGACAGTACGAGCGGTTCACTGGTTTGCCAGGTAACATACCATCTTACCGCCTTTTCAAACGGCTCGACTCTGATTTGTTTCAGTTCATAAATGCATTTCCCTTTATTCTTTCACTGTCCCAACCCACAGCACCCAAGGAGCAATTTCAGAGAACCATGTCCAAGTACTAACAAGCTTGAATATCGGATCTGCCGTCAATCGTTGGTTTGTGTTACTACTATTCATTTGGGGAAAGTGCATCAAAATAACAGTGTTTGTAAGAACTTGTAATGCTTTTCAATAATCTCCAGCTTGATGTATTTTTATTTCTAATTCAGTATCAACTGAGGGTGATGAATATTTTTGGATTTCTGATAAAACGACGTAAAGAGTTATTGTTGAAAATATTTAGTTATTAAAATTTGAGAAATAACTTTAGAGCAAATTCTTGAATTCTTTTCTTCTGTGCTACTAAGTAAAGAAGTTATGGTCCAAGAGAAGAGCCATTGATTCCACATTGGATATATACTGCTAGTTTTTGTACGAGTGTTAATGTCACCTTCAACTTATGAGGTGTCTTCTAGGGGCAAAAGCATGAGCCGTGAGGCCAAATATGCAAAACTAAACAAATCCTTGAAGATTGGTGTGGACTGTATTAGTCCAGCTCTAATGAGCCGAAGCAGACAATACTTGGTAAGTTCATGCACTTGGTGACACACTTAGATGGAGTATTTTTGTATGGATCTTATGTGTCAAAATGGTAACAACCAGTTTGTGGAAGTTATAAGTTCATGCACTTGGTGACACACTTAGCCGAAGCAGCTTGACTCTCTTTTGAGGATGTAAATGCAGAATGTATTTCTTTTCCTTGATAATGACTTGGGTGTTTTTTATAGTAAAATTTTACTTGTAATTTCGATAATGGTCAAGTTTACATTAAATAATATATTTGATAATGTACTGCGCAAACATTAAGGGTGTTTGGCCTAGTGGTATGATTCTCGCTTTGGGTGCGAGAGGTTTCGAGTTCGATTCTTGAAACTTTACTTTTCCACCTTTTTCGATTTAAAAGTCAAAAAGCTGATTTACTTTTGGGTCTAATTGGCCCATAAAAATAATTAGTGTATTTTGTGTTGATCATATTTAACTTATTTAACGTGGCAAATTTGTTTTGATCAGTGAAAAGTTTATTTATGTTCGTTTATTTATTAAACGAATAAATATGTATAAGATTTTATGTTTGTTTTATTAAATGAACGAACAAAATCAAAGTACTTGTAATTTCATTTATATTCGTGAACGTTCAATTATTCGTTCGTTTATTTTATATCCAATCTCCAAACCCGTTTGAAATATTAAGACCTAATAAATTTTAACCTTAAACTCATTATTATTTTAAAATCTAATTAATTTTAAACCCAAATAAAAATACTCAAATCAATTAAAGAAAATATAAATCCTAAAATTATTTGGAAAGAAAAAACTATTCTCAAATATAAACCCAACTAATTTTATGTATGTTCGTTTACGTTTATTTATGTTTGTTCATTTGTGTTCATTTACGTTCGTTCAATTGTGTTAGTTTATCAATTTAAGAAATTAATAAATTAGAATGTTAGAGTGAAATAATTTAAGAAATTAGAAACTTAGAGTGTTAGGATGAAATAATTTGGTAATTAAGAATAAAAAAATCTAATATAATATAAAAATAAAAATTAAAAATATATAAGAAACCGAGTACTGAATCATAGATATTAGGTTAAAAGATATTTTATGAGTTGAGTTCGACCCAGAAACCCAACAAAAATAATGGGTCGGATATTCAGCCCACGAAATTGAGTATTTTTATTATAAATATTCAATATTTTTAACCTGGTGGACGAGTAAGGATGGGCACGAGACTCGAACCCAACAAGTTCTGACTCAATCCGACTCGATCGGGTCGGGTATTTTTTAAAAAAAATTTGGGTTCAAGTCAGGTTTTTTAGAAATTATGTTTGGGTCGGGTGGAGTTCGGGTTTTTGGTGAAACAAATTGACCCGAATCTACCTAAAAATAATATAAAAATACTTTATATATTTTGGGGTAACTGCAAGAATATCCCTCTTTATATTTTTTTTCAATTAAGTCTCTATTCATGAAGAAAAATAATTTTATATTATTTTCGGGTCGGGTAGGGTTAGAGTTAGGTTTTATCTCAAAAGTCGGGTCAAGTGAAATTACTCTAAACTCGGGTCAAGTCGAGTTTCGGGTGGAGGTATAAAATTTTCAGGTCAGATCATGTTGATCAAAAACCCGACCCATGCCCATCCCTATCGACAAGTCGACAAGTAGGAGTTTTTGAAACACCCCTAACACCTTACCTAACCTTTTTTAATTTTAATTTTAGATTAATTAATTTATTTATTTTACATTTTAATTCATTTTCGTTAAGTCAACAACATAAAATGATGTTTATATTTCTTAAATTAATAAAATAATTTTAATCCTAAACTATTTTTAATCTTCATTTATCTAGTTTTTTATATTTGCTAATCAACTATCATTAATGTTATATATATTTCATATTTGTTTTGTTGATGTTTATTATTCACCGTTAATAATACTGATTAGTCTATTTTTATTTCTGTAGACTTTTATGATTTTTTATTTTTCATTATTAAATAAAAGAAATTACTGGTATTAGTTTAAAAAATAGTTTGATTCTTTTTATTTAAATTTAATGTATAATGTCTGTCTATATATATATATATATTAATTTTTTTAAAATGATAATAAAATTAAACCAAATATTTTTAATAATCAAATATATGCAAACTAAATATTCTACTTATTTGAATCATTGAGTTTTGTATAAACAAAAAAAATATTGCTACATAATATTTTATTTTAGTGTTCACCCACTTAAAATTAAAAATATTTATCTTTGAATTATAATAACTTAAATAAAGAAATTTTGAACCTAATATAAATATAACTGCCATCTTAATTAAAAAGATAAAATACTTGCAATGGGCTATCCATAGGATGTCAAGTCCGTATAGAGATTTGCAAGAGAAAGTTCATATAATTAGAGGCAATTCTTATAACCATACTCCCGTACGATCGATAGTCCAATTTTTATAGCATGTAGTTTAGCCGTCACACTCGAATAGATACCCAAATGTGCCGAGAACCCCAAAACCTACCACCAAATGTGTTTCTCAAAATACCACCCGCAGCTGATATGCCCCGACTTCCTTGGCTTGCACCATCTGTATTCAATGTAAGCCTTTCATTCGTAGGAGGTAGCCACACCACTTGAGTGTGAGTATTTGGCTTCGGAGTAGGTTCCTTAAAAGCCAACAAAATATCCTTCGTTGTCGAGATAATATTGCGCCAAAGCATGATACCATCAGAATCGTTATCATCTTGTTCAAAGATCCTTTTGCACCACATAGTCCATAATCTCCAAATGGTAACAACAGATTGTATAATCGACTCTTTAGAGTGCTTCACAATATCAAGATTGTCTAATAGTCAAGTTCTAATATCTTGAGAAAAAAAAGTTCCCTGCATGGTGTTGGAGATGCAACGACGCCAGATGATACGTGCCATGATGCAATCCTTTAAAACATGGCTTAAATTCTCCACCGGACAACCGCATATGGTGCAACCAGCCGAGTAAGCAACCCCCACGTAGCCCGTCGAGAATTGGTAATCAGTTTGTCACACCAAACTAACTAAACAAAAGTTCTCCATCTAGTTGGGATTAGCAGCCTCCACATCCAAGATAAGTTCACATTCACCTCTCTGTTATCCTCATAAATAAGTGCAATATAAGCTGATCGAGTCGTAAAAATTCCGTTGGCAGAATATTTCCAGCAATAATAATCTTGCATGGAAGAGAATTTCGGTATCGAGTATCCCATTATTTTGCTCGCCACTTCCATGGACAGTTGCGTAAAAATTTTATTCAAATTCCATAGTCTATCAACATTTATAAACTCACTAACCTTTGTTGAATCCTTCACTACTGCCCCATAGGAATCTACAATTGGCTTGATCAACCTCTTCAATAATACTAGCCGCCAAGCGAGCCGTCAGCATCGTGTATGGTGGAAGCGACTGAGCTAATAAGAGTAGTTCACCCCGTTAAATTCAAAGTTTTAGCTTTCCAACCACTTAACCTTGAATTAACTTTATCAACAATCTCACTATACCAAGATTTAATGACACATCCATGGATGAAAGACACTCCGAAGTACTTACCCAAGTCAGAAGATGAGCTCATGTTAATAATTTGACCAAAGCTCCTTCTAATACTCGTCCTAACATGAGAAGGTATGAAAAATTTCGGCTTTTCTTAGCTAACCTTAGCACCTAAAACAAGACAGAATTGATCCAACACTCTTCTAAACACACGAGCTTGATGATTATTATCCCTTCTGAACAAGAATTGAAGGCAAAAACACTACAGCAAAATTGGATTTTAGTGGTGGTTGTAGCGTCGTTTTTATATAAAACGTCGGTAATATTTTACATATAGCGGCGTTTTTGGAAAAACGCCGCAATATCCAAATATATGGTGTCATTTTTGGAAAAATGACACTAAAACCTCGTACTTTAGTGGCATTTATGTAAAAAATGCCGCGATAGCCAGATATATAGTGACACTTTTTATAAAAACGCCTCTAAAATATTGTACTGTACTGGCATTTTATTAAAACGCTGCTATAAACTAATGCATTACTGCCGCTTTTGGAAAAATGCTGCTATAGACTTGTACAATAGTGGTGTTTGTTCTAAAAACGCCGCAAAATCACGTACATAAGTGGCGTTTTTTCATGTAAATGCCGCGAAAGGATAATTATATTTCCCTCCTATCTCCTGGCCGATAACTAATTCTTTTGAACCATTTTTCCCTATCTTCCCTCTTCTTCCCTAATTCTTCATCGAAAAACCCCAACGCATAGATGTTCGATGATTATGGTTTGTTAGACGACATTACAGTGCTTGGCGGTGAAACAAAATCAAATACATTATCTTCTCTGTTGCTGTTCCGGAAAATTAAAGATCGTCGACATGGACAACAACAAGGATCTAGAGCTTGTTTCGCCTTCCGACAAGACATCTTCTCCTATTCAAGAAAAAAGTTTAAACGATTAGAGAAGGTGAAAACGATTTTGGAAAATACATCCCCATTTGAAGCCCTAGATTTGGTACATCGGAGCCCTAAGTAGTCGAGGAGTCGAAATCGGGATCCGGGTAGAGGGTTCTTTTGACGAGGAAAGCAGCGATAAAGGAACAGGAATCCTCTGCCAAGGAGGTGGAGAGGTTGAGACATATTGTGAGGAGACAAAGGAAATATTTGAAGGCTATGATGTTGGAGGTTTCTAGAGAGGAAGCTGAAAGGAAGAGGATGCTCGACGAAAGGGCCAATTACAGGTTTTTCTACTTGATTTTTAAAGATTTTTTTCACTTTATTTTAAATTTGAAACAGTGAGAAGGAAGATGTATATTCAACTGTTAAAGGAAATAAAGCTGCAGATGATGTCATTCTTATTGAAACAACTCGGGAAAGAAATATTCGCAGGGCATGTGAAACTCTTGCAGAACACATGGTTGAAAAAGTGAGAAATTCTTTTCCAGCTTATGAAGGAAATGGGATACATCTGGGTCCTCAATCAGACACTACCAAATTAGGATTTGATTTCGATGGGGAGATACCCGATGAAGTTAGAATTGTTATTGTAAATTGCCTCAAAAACCCTCCTCAATTACTTCAGGCAATTACCACATGCACTTCAAGGCTTAAAACCCTGATTTCTAGAGAAATATAGAAAGTTGATGTTAGAGCTGATGTTGAAACCTTAAGGTAGACTTTTTCTTTCGTATTTTTTCTTGTTGGTGGTTATAGAGTTTCAGATAAGCTTCCTTTGGCTTTCCTTCTACTTGTCTAGTTGTATGGTCACAAATAATTAACTATAGAGTTTAGAATCTTACATCTGTAATATGTTTCTTAGCAACCATTTGCTTTAGAGTTGCACAGAAAATACTGCCATTTGTCTAGTTATTCCGTTTGTTTGATCCTATCATACTTTACGCAGTACATAAAGCAACAACTTTTATCATAATGCTGCAACTAGGATAACATTTATAGTTACATTGTTATAGCTCTCTCTTCTTTGGTGAATGGCATGCTTGGGTTTTATTTTGGTTGCAAACTATATCTTCTCTATCGAAAAGCTTCTATTACTTAGCATCTTTTGCTTCTAGTTTCTTTATTGTTAGACATTTGAGAACGTGGGTGTATTGTGTCTGGAATATGTTGTTGAAAGTTATATTCGTATTAAAAGGATTTTTCGTTCATGCAAATATCTTAAATTTCTTGATTGCTTGTTTGGTTTGAATGCACCTTGTATTGAATAAAAGTTATATTTTTATCAGGTACAAATATGAGAACAAAGTTATGGATGTTTCCTCTCAAAATGCGAGCTCCCCTTAAACTATCAACTTCATGGTAATGGGAAGATAGGAATGGATGATCAACTTCTTGAAAGACAGGTCTCATTTTCCTTTTGAGAGTTCAACTTATGCAAATTTACTCTTTTACTTCTATCTCCTACTACCTCCTGCATCTATTAATATTGTTGTTAAGGGGATTATGAAACTAGAGGCATTTTTATTTAAGATGAATGAATACTGGTTGGCTAGTTGTCTTCACTTAACTTTGTTAGCCCCAATGTTTTCCTTATGTTGATTATCCTAAGTCATCCTTTTGTAGTTTGATTTATCAATACATGTTTGTTTGCAGAAAGCACATGTTCAACAATTTTTAGCTACTGAAGATGCTCTCAACAAAGTTGCAGAAGCTAGGGACTTATGTCAAACGCTTATTCAACGTCTTTAAGAAGGTAGTTCTTCAGTTCCTTCACGCACTCTTGTTGGAGCTGCTACACAAAATGTTGGCAGTCTTAGACAATTTGAGGTAATTCCTATGGTTATGATTCCTATGGTTATGAGTTACTAGATTTTCCAAGAAAGAATAGGTGATCAGATGTTTATATTTGCTCTTTTTCATCTTGATGTTTATTTACTCATGCTACATTGTATGTTAAATTTTCTATCAGTTAGAGTTTTGGGCCAAGGAGAGAGATGTTGTTGGGTTAAAGGCAAGCTTAAATACATTAATGTCTGAAATACAACGGTTGGATAAATTGTGTGCAGAGAGGAAAGAAGCTGAAGATTCATTAAGAAAGAAGTGGATGAAGATTGAAGAGTTTGACTCTCGTAGATCTGAACTTGAAACCATTTATACTGCTCTTTGAAGGCTAATATGGTAAGGTATTCCGTTCTTCATTTTCATTGTAAAAATCAGCAGTAGGAATATGGTAGTGGTGCATCTATTATGCTGTTAGATACCAATTATTACTTTTAGTAACTTACGCTTTGTAATGTGGTTGAACCTTTTCAATTATAGGTTAATAACATTATAGGTTAATAACATTCTTTCTTTCCTCCATCCATGTTATGTTGGGTTACTTCTCTTATTTTTTAAGAAAAGATATAGATACCCATGTTCTATTTATGTATCTTTTAATTACAGTGATCTTTTCTTCTTTTGTCCAACGATGATTCTCTATACATATATCTTGTTTCATTTGCTTGTGTTCCAAAATATTGGAGAATATATCCTGTTGCTTATCTGTATCCAGCTTCTCAAGAAGAGACAGTTAAAAAAGGACTTGGATGTTATACTGGATACCTAGGATGATAAGTGCTGTAATTGACTAATAGTGTTGTAATAATCATGTAAATCTCTAATTAGATGATATAGTTGGTAACAACAACGTAAGCAAATATCATTAATGCTTTATAACAATTTAGGTGATGTGGACCAGAAATGAAATATGCAAAATAAATTAATCTTAACTAATGAAAGGTAATTAGAGATGTTTGTATCCAAAAAACGCTGTTATAGATATGACCTTTTACGGCGTTTGTTCAAAAAACACCGCTATAGGTGTAGATCTTTTGCGGCATTTGTTCAAAAACGCCGCTATAAATCTCCACCTTTTGCAACATTTGTTCCAAAAATGCCACTATAGATCTGACCGATCATGACCTTTTACGGCGTTTTTTGTTCTCAAACGCCACTAACTATAGCGGTGCTGGTATGGCCGGCGCTTATTGCGACGTTTTTGTTATCGTCGTGAGTGCATTTAGCGGCGCTTAAAATGGCCGCTACAGGACGAAAAAAATGCTGCTAAAAACCAATTTTGTTGTAGTGAAAAGAATGAGATCGACCCAAGCTTGAGGAAGCCCAAACTGTTCAAGATTTTCTTTTAGAAAGTCCCAACGGATCCTGTCATATGCCTTTTCAAGGTTGAATTTAATAGCTTCTTGGCCACTTTTCCCTTTGAAATGTTTGACTTTGTGTAACATCTCCTGAGCGAGGAGAATGTCATCAGTAGCTTGACGACCAGGCATAAAGCTCACCTGAAACGAGGCAACCAAATCTACAAACAAAGGTCATAATTTGTTCGCAAACACTTTTGTAATGAGCTTGTACACAACAATACATAAACTTATAGGGCGAAACTACTTGACAAATTCCGGGTTAAGCATTTTACGAATCAAAACAAGAAGAGTATGACTTAACTCGACCGAAAAGGTACCTGTTTCAAAGCTGAGCGAACCAAAGAAGTGAGAGAGACCCAAAAAGTACCCTTAAATTCCTAATACACCCAACATGAAAGCCATCTTCACCAGGTGTCTTCCAAGACTTCATCATAAAGAGCGCACGGTGCACTTCTGTTGAGTCAATCGATCAAGGAAAGTGTCCAAGAGGGAGTGAATTGGCAATAAGAATTTGTTGGAAGCTAAAGCAAGAAATATGAAATTGACACAAGGATTTTAGAAAGTCTACATCCACTACCTAAGCTTCCGAACTGAGAATTTCAATAAATTCACTAATTTTTCTAACATTTTAGAAAAAAGGTGTAAC